TTTTTTTAACCAAAACCTTTCACTCTAAGAGAAACAGAAATGTTGAAGTGTGAGAGTTTCCCATGAAATGGAAATTCTGAGTTGCAGCACTGAAAATAATGATCGAAACAATGACATAGAAGCCATTTACATTGAGGAAAAAAACCACCATGGAATCTTAGACCAAGCCACCTTAGTGAAACTAATTGTGCTCATTCAGTGGGTAACATCTGGGTGCTTTGCTGGGAATGTGCCTGGTGACAATCCGAGGTTTGAAAGCTAAAAATACTAGTGCTAGGACAAGGGGAATGGCTTCAAACTGAAAGAGGGCAGGTTTAGATTAGAGGGTAGGAAGAAATTCTTCCCTGTGAGGGTGGTGAGGCACTGGCACAGGTTGCCCAGAGAAGCTGTGTGTGGATGCCCCATCCCTGGAAGGCAGGTTGGGTGGGGCTCTGAGCAACCTGGTCTGGTGGAAGGTGTCCCTGCCCATGGCAGGGGGGTTGGAATGAGGTGGCCTTGAAGGTCCCTTCCAATTCAAGCATTCTATGATACTAATTCTCTTAAGTAATAAGCACTCATGAAGGACAGGGCACTTTTGGAAGTGCCCCTATATAATTGACAAAAGTAATAAAAAAGCTTAAAATATATACACTACATTAACAGGCAAAATGTTAAGTAATTTCTTAAGTAAAAATAAGAGATCCTAAGTTAGATCTGGAATGCTATTGCTACAGCATCATTGGACATGAGTGTGGCATGCACAGGCACATATATTCCCTGCTCTATTTATCAAATCCACTGCTTGGGGCATTAGGTCTGAATAAATTAACTCATCGGTGTGTTTTGGGCCAGGCAGAACATTGCTGTTGTTTATGTAACACCATAGGCCAAAAGGGTATTGCACTGACAAATAGATCCTCATCCCGATCCCATGACAGTATAAATCACAACAAACTCGTGGATACGAGATGGTTTGCAACGGACAGCAAAACATAACGTAGGAATCTGGCCCATGGACCACGAAGGAATCAACAATCCTTAGCAGCCAAGATGTGATCTGTCCAGCACATGTGCAGGGATGAGGACCACAGTGCAGAGTTAACTCTGTGCTGGCTGGAGGCTTGTTGTGCCTCGGGAGGCTTGGCAGGATGAGGCTGTTCATGACCCATATCCTGAGGCTGAGAATGGCAGTGTCCCACACATTTACTGGGAGGCTGCACAGGTGGGCAGGGACTTCCCTTTCCCTTCAGGAAGGGGAGAGGACACAGCAACCTCTTACTGTGCTCTCCCAGTAAATTAATCAGCTGGAGTAGCAAAGCCCAAACCAACAGCATTCAGGTGTCTTCCACTCCATTCAGGTGGGAGTCTGGTACCTAAGACAGGTGTTAGATTGTGATGGAAGATTTAAGTGGTCACAGCATCTTTGGTGACAAAAAGATCGGTCAGAGCCATGCTCCCAGAGGGTGGAAAACTACACCTGGAAAGCACAGCCACAGGGCTGCTCTCCTCTCTGGCATGGCTACATTCCCTCTGCACAGCTACACCTCTGCAATTATGTGCCGTGATACCTGTGATGAAAAACATGACCTTTGCTACTCAGCAAAGAGAACTGCTGCGTACCAGAAAGTCAGCCTTGCTTTCTCTGACATGGAAAACAAGCCCAGCCCTGCAGTGCCAGGGCTGGCAGGGAGTGATGGCAGTGGTAACAACAGCCACGTGAGTCAGCAGGAGAAGGACATACAAAAACACGTGTCAACCCCTGTCCTCCTCTGAAATCATCTTCAACCCCCACATCACTGCAGTAGGTAAGGAATTAGAACTAAGAACCTTAACAAGACACTCTTCCCTTCATTCTCACACATTTTCAGAGCCATTGCAGATTTCTAACTAGTCACACTGCTGGGGGACAAGTGTGGCAGGTCCCCTGCCAGGTGTTTCCTCGTCATGCCAAGTGACACATCCTAAGTCCACAGGACAGATTAAGGTTTATCTCTAATTAGATGGTTCACTGAGTAAGCTATAACAGGATGAAGGAGCCAGTAAGAATCAGAGGTTTTGATGGGAAGCTGCCTTGGTCTAGCACTACACAAACATCCAGGACTTGGTTCTGTTTAAACATGCACTAACACCATTCCTTCCCACTGGTGTCATAATCCTGCATGATTTTACTGCAGTAAAATTTCACCAAAGCACTAATTTTAAACTCTTGAAACTTTAAAAAATATTATCTTCAGTATAAGTTTACACTTACCGGAGACAAAAATTGAATGTGGAAAAATGAGCATTGAAAGCAGCAAAGATTTTCAAGTGCATTTGATGGGGAAAATGTTTGGAGATTCAGAGTCTGTGTCAGTGTGGAAACCCATAAACATTTTATCATTGTACAGTGAAATTTTCAGATCTTAAAACTTTAGAAAGATAGTGAAGTGATACTTTTTGAAGAGATGAATTTGAGTGTGTTTTTCCCATTGTTCTTTTCAAATCACACTTCATTAACTTTGCCTTACAACACTGGTACTAACTAACCAAGTATTAAATCAGAGACATGAGGAACATCCATGGAGGATTTAAAATGATGGGCTGGGGGGACACAGACCATGCCTGGTAGGGAGGTCCAAGCTGAGTACACGGCTCTTGAAAAAAATCAATCATGAATTGATACATTTACCCACAAAATAGTTCTGTTGCAAATTGTAGGGTAGGGACAAATCCACGAAGAGGTTGGAAAAACACAGAAAAAAGACCAACCCCTAACTGTGAGCAACAAGAGTGCTCTAGAGTGCCCTGGCTCCCTTTCACTTTTGTTTCTCTTCTCCTTCAAATGAGGTAGGGCTTCCCTAAACATCTAGAAGGAATATCTGCACAAACTCCCTCCAGCAGCAGCAGTCTTCCAGCCAAGTTAGTTTGCCGCCTTTTAATTAACTCTTTGCATGGCTCCCTCAGATGAAATTTAGAAATTTATGAACCACGATAAAAAAAGTAAGAGGCAGGGTGTTGGTTTTTTGGTTGTTTGGTTGTTTGGTTGTTTTTTTGTGTTTCTTTTTTGTTTGTTTGTGGGTTTTTGTTTGTTTGGGGTATGGTTTTTTTTGTTTTTTTTTTTTTTTTTTTTTTTTTTTGTAGAATTCTGTTTGTGAATGGGCTAAAAATCTGTAAGAGACTCCTGTTCTGGAGCTGATGCAGAGACCTACTTTGCATTAAGCAAGAGTGAACAGAGTCCCACAAGCCCTGCTCAGAAAGAGGCCGTGATGCTGTGAAGCAGAAGGAGCCCAAAATGTCACACTGACTTTTCTGAGAAGTCATAGGAGGGGATCATGAGCTCACTTTTGAGAAGATGTTAATCTTCTCCATCTGACATATGCATTGGAATCACACAGATCTGAACTGTTTTGGCACACAGACTGATTGCCTCCCAGAGCTAGACAAATAAACTGCCTGCTGTCACACTGAGCAGGGATTCAGGGATTATTTTGCTACACTATGACAGAAGAAAAAACTATTAATTTTCCTGTAAATGGCTGAATAGAATGCAGTTACGCCTTCTAAAGATGATCTCAATAGTCAGGAGAGATGAAGAGATCTTGATTTTCATTTTTCCCTGTAATTATGCTGACAACTCCCACCTGCATCCTGGCACTCCAGTTATAGACGTTGAGCAGGAGTCAAGATTTCATCCTGTCCTGCAGGAACATTGTGAAAGTGAACTATCTCTGCACTTGGATTTGAAATCCCAGTTTTCCAGGGCTGCACAGTCAGCAGACCATACTGATCCTACCTGTGCTGATTTAAAAGCATCAGTTTATGGAGTGGCTTATAATCCAGTCTGTGTGAGGTGAAGGTGTCAAAACCTCACTAAAATCTGTGGACACACTCTAAAGCATGGGCATGCCTTTGGAAAACTGCTATCTGGGTACAACAGGTTGGAAAAAAACTTGCAAGAAGAAGCCTTGGAGGTTTGAAAAAACAAGCAAACAAACCCCAAAGTGCCTTCAGATAAAGAAAGCTCAAAATGTAGCTGGCATCCATGTCCTGTGACATCAGGCATGTCATGACTGGGGAACAGAAGCGATGGGCTGAAGCTCATGGAACAGGTACAGGTTATTGGCTCACAGGTACAGGTCATCAGCTCCCAGGCACCTTTCTGTGAGGTACCAGCTCTACAGGAGAAGCTGCAGAGGATAGGACACGGATAAGGACAGCACACAGAGGACAAGGACCTGTTGGAGCGAATCTAGGAGATGCTCAAAGGGCTGGAGCACCTCTTCTATGGAGAAAGGCTGAGAGAAGTGGGGTTGTTCAGCTGGAGAAGAGAAGGCTCTGGGGGAGACCTGAATGTAGCCCTTTAGAACTTGAAGGGTTTTATAACAAATGTGGGGACAGACTTTTTAGCATGGCCTGTTGCCATAGTGAAAGGGGCAATGATTTTAAACTGAAGGAGGGTCGATTAAGGTTGGATATAAGAAAGAAGTTATTTAAAACTAGGAGAAGTTTTTTATAATTGGAGTGGTGAGGCCCTGGCACAGCTTGCCCAGAGAAGCTGTGGCTGCCCCATTCCTGGAAGTGTCCGAGGCCAGGTTGGACAGGGCTTGGAGCAACCGGGATAGTGAAGGGTGTCCCTGCCCATGGCACGGAGGGTTGGAACGAGACGATCTTTAAGGTCCCTTCCAACCCAAACCAATCTGTGACTCTATGATTCTATAACTCAGCTTGGAGCAGGGAGACTCTGGGCCTCTCTGTGCTCTTTACCAAGAGCCTCAACGTCTTAAAAACTTCGGTTTCCATCATTCCCTGGTGGTGAGCGCTCACAAATGCTCTGCAGCGTGACGGCTGAGTAATGACCCCACCACATCTTAGCAACGACCCCGCACTTCAGGGCGATGGTGGAACGCCCGCACCCGCCCGTGCCGGCGGGGCGGAGAGAAGGCGGGGATGGGAGGGAGGGTCCCGCCCGCCCCGCTCCGCCCCGTCCATCCCCCGGCGGGGCGGGATGAGAGTCGGGCACTGCCGGGGACTGCACTCTATCCCGGGACAGCGGCGTGAGCCCCGAGCCCCCAGCCCGGCCCGGCCCCGCTCCCCCATCCCGAGCGAGCCCCGCGATGCTGGCGCCGGGCGGGCCCAGCCCCGCGCTGACCTGCGGGGCCGTGATGGTGACCGCCGTGCTCCTGCAGTCCGTCTGCGTGGCCGTCACCTTCCTCTACTTCACCAGCGAGCTCAAACAGGTCGGTGCGGGGGAACTGCGGCGGGGGGGACCCCGCGCTCCCCCTTCTGTCCCCGCAGGACGGACCGACCGCCGGGGGGCCGCGGGCTCGTATGGGCGGTGGGCGATGCGAGCGGCATCCGCGGCCGGGGGCTGAGTCCCCCGTGGGCTGAGCCCCCCTGGGCCGGGGCTGAGTCCCCCAAGGGTTGAGCCTCCCCCTGGGGCTGGGTTTACCCCCCACCCCGCTCCCCGCAGATAAAGAGCTCCGCTCCCCTCGCCCGCTCCTTTGTCTGGACCCGCCGTGGGCGTGCGCGGGGAAGGGAGTTCAAAGCAACAACGGCTGCAAAGTTTTCTTGCCTTAAAAAAAAACCAAAAAAAATCCAAACAAAACCACCAACCAAACAACAAAGTTATGCATTTTTTTTTCAGCGAAGAGGCAAATGTGTTTTTCATTAGCGCGTAAATTCTCCTTCTCACCGCTTTGCGCTGCCCGCCGGCGCTGCAGGAGCGCCGGGAGCGCTGGGAGGGCTGGACGGTCGGACAGGCACAGGGGGAAAGGGCTGAGGAAAGCTGAGGTGCCTTTTAGACGTATCCTGTAGGACGATACATAGTTCTAAGGCAGTGACTAACGCTAAAGGAACTGCACCAGACAGCAAACAACACTGAATTCCCCAGAATAACTTGTAAAATAGCAATTGTATAGTCTAGATGCTTTGGTCTCCTTGCAGCCACCCTTCTGGCCTGCTAGCTGCTGCTTAACTCTTTCCGCTCTGTGCTGCTTAGCTCTTTCTTCTCCTGGCTGCTTAACTCTTCTTGCAAGAGATCATGTGCACTCTAAGAAAGTTACATTTAGTTGATAGTCCCAGGATAGTTAATAGTCCCCTTTGTATGTGTAGCCCTGCTTTCCATGGACCCACTAGTACTTGGGATTTCCATGCGTATCTTACCCAAAATTTACTGCCCTGCTGTAAGTTGTATCAGTATGTTGCTCTTCCTGGCACAAAGGTAAAACTAACTGCAGGTAAGTGTTCTGCACATACACAACTTCAGAAAGCATTGCAGAAATGTAAGTTACTGTGCACTCAATAATGCATAATTAATTACATGATTATTAGTAATGTATGGTGTATATGCATTTGTTCCACATCAGATTTAATAGGCAGAGTCTTCTGAGATGTCAGAGTTCTCTGTGAGGCAAAGGATGTGCAGTATTGTACAGTATGAGCCAGTGCTCATACTTTGGAAATGTATAAAACAGATCTCCCTGTTATGACTGTCCCATATTTGGTCAAATGGGGGAGTCACAGAAATGTGTTGACTTTATGAAATCAGGCTACATAATGCTGCTAATGAAGAAAAATATATAAAGGTATCCTCATACCTTCATGCATACACTTCAGAGTCCTTTACTCACAAGCTTGCCAATCTAAGTAATTAGTAACCACACTTATCTTTCCCTTCCTTTTATTCAAACATGTACACCTGAGACACAACCACCTCTTGTGGTACTTGCCTAAAATACAACTCACCGTTTCTGAACAATAACAAGCCTGCATTTGGTGTGAAGGGCTGAATCTGTCGACACTAAATTTCTGCTGGGCTAAAAGCTAAGGTTGCTGCGTCTGGAGGGGGGTACCTTAAGCACACATTCCTGCATGTGCCATTTGGTGCACAATAAACAAGGAAAGAGCTTATCTGGAAGCACAGACTGCTACCCCACATCCACATGATGCATGTGGAATAAATCTCAAAAGATAAGCTGAGATTGTGGTCTGCCCATTTTTCTTCCCTTTGTTGTTCACAATACCTGCATTGCTGCATCTTCTCCAAATTACTGGTGGCTGCACAGACTGCAGATATTTCTAGCTTTGCAAAAAGCATGCTGAATAACTAGGAGGGTTTTTCCTCTACAGCTGTAGTGACCTGAGTTAGGACTAGGAGTATACCCATTTGTTGAACAGTTTTGCTTTAGGAGGAAGTGCTGAGACAATAAAGTTCACTATGCTTCAGGATATAGGGCTGCAAGGACAATATCCTCAGGCTTCCTTCTATTTCGAAAACAGTCTACTAACCACTCCTAGCATAGGAGACTTTACAAGATTCCTGCAGGACTTGTATTGTCAAAGGCTTCAGTACTATAGAAAACCTCATTTGAGTGAGTCTTAACAACAGCAATAATAACGTGCTGCTGCAAGGTTGCATTCCATGAGGATTTCAGACTGCATGCAAAATACTGTTCCAGTGCCAGGATAGTAAAGTTGTTTTGGGGAAAAGTGAGCAGGTAAGGAGGAGGCAGAAGCACAGGATTGTTTGCTTCCAGATGGGAGGGCAAATCTGAGAGCTGGGCTGTAACAGATCCGCCAAGAGAATAAACAGTAACTTCACAACTGCTTACGTTTTGCTTTTTTTTAAAACTCAAACACTTTGTTACTGAAGCTTGTATAGTTAAATCTGTCAGAGACCTTAGTTTTAAGTGCAGTTTTACTCAGTGAGCACATAATATTAATGGTTTTGAGTTCTTGAAACGTGATTTAAGAATGTCATAATACTCCTTGGCAAAGACACAGAAACCTTCACAAACACTCATAGTCGTGGCCCCTTTTCCTTCTGTTGCCTACAAAATACAAGTACTGGCTGAAGCTCAGCGGAGTCTGCTGCTGCAAACTGAAAGTGGGACTTTAAGGAGGTGAATTCTGCTTCTCTTCCTCATCCTGGAGCAGGAAAATCTCTCCCTAAGTGCCTTGTTTTCTAACAGACAGGAAAAGCATGGAGTATGGAGGAGGAGGTGACTCAGATCTGTTTGTTTCTTTCAATACCCCTGTCTCAAGGACAACTGAAACTTGTAGAATAAGTGTGCCTGTTTAGCAAACCAAACCAAGCTTCTTTAACACAACAGAAGTGAAATTTAAATGCTACGACCAGACCAGAATTCCATCTGAATGCTCTGCATGTTTGTTGCTGTTTCTCCCGAAGTCCCTGAAGTGCTTTGCTGGCTCAACAAGCCTGACCAGTCTGTAGCTGATGCAGCAGGAGCCCAGTTCCAGGGAAACAGGGACCGGGTGCTGGAGCCAGCACAGGTTCTGTGCTCCCACGTTAACCAACAGCGCCAGCTGGAGTCCTGTGTGTCACATCCACAGGGAGCTTGGGAAGAGCTTTCCACTAGGATATCATCTCTCCCAGTCAGATTCCCTTGGAGCCAACCAGAGTTTTGCCAATCTGTTAAAAACCCATTTCTCTTTATCAGTAAGTAAGTGTGTTTTCTCTGCGACTAGGCAATATAGACATGGGTCCATGTCACAAGTGCCCAGCATTATAATTATATTTGGACTCAAATGTTATTTCAGTTTTCTGGACTTTGTTCTGCACTATTAGGACAAGTGCAGTTATGGAGGGGCCCCAGACTGGATATGGGAAGGATTCGGTGTGGATATATAACAGCAAAGGTCTGGATTATAAATGGCATTGGCTGAAAAGACAGCATAGAAAATACCTTTAAGGTCTAGTATTTGATTTCATCCTCATTAATTTGTGGGGGAAAAGTCCCTTGTGCAAAAAAAATGTTTTTGATACAGAACTAGAGCAACTAAAGAGTTCACAACATTAGATTTGGGTATTGAATTTTCACAAAACCTATTTAGTTGAGTACTGGATATAAGATTTATGCCCATGGAGATAATGTAAGTATATTCTTGCATATTAGATATGCCATCCTAGTTAAATACATCAGATCAGGATGAATTACCCGTGTTGTTTATATGGTCCTACTTGCACCATGCTAGGAAATGCTTTAAAGAAAGGGAAGCATGTTCCTTACCATAGTGAATATAGTGACATACCACAGCTGAACATCTGCAAACACATCATGGGTGAAAAATCCTGGCTTTCCCTTCTGCTGCAGCTCCAGGACACGTACTCCAACAGCGGCATCGCTTGTCTCACCGGGGAGGAAATCGGAAATTCCATCCAAAACTTGGATGAAATTGAAAGCGAAGACAGAGAAGCTGATCCCTGCTGGCAAGTAAAGTGGCACCTGGGAAAGTTAATTAAAAAGGTATTCAGGAACACTGTGCTTGATGATATTACAGCTGAAAGAATCCTAATAGCAGAATAAAGGAGCCTCTCAGATTGTTTTATTGCAAAGCAACAGTCAGACCACAGCTTCAGCTGCAAAGCACTTGCACTGAAGACCAAAAAAACCCCTAACAGTGGTTTCACTACATTCATTAAATAATAAAGCAAAGACAATCAGCTTTTACTAAGTAGATTTCAGTGATAGAGGGGCTTGTCTGAAATATGTTAGGGTAGAAGTGTTTGACTCGAGCTTGCTTTCAACCTGACTGTGCAGATCATGGTGCTAGCAGAGCTGTCACTGCCCTTTTGGAAATAAAGGGAGATTGGGATGAGAAAATGAGATTAAATGTAACACAGGAGGAGGTACAAAGGTGCCTGAGGAATGGTCTAGTCATGAGCTGTGTAATGTAGTGGGAAAGAGCAAGAGAGCACAACAGTGTCAGGCACAGCACCTTCCCAGCGCACATTCAGAGAGAAGAAAATCATTCTGGCTGTAAAAATCAGAGAGGCTAAAATCTTCTGGAATGGTTTTCAAAATCCCATCTTCAGCACATAAACAATTCACTTCTGGCTGAAACTTACCTGGCAAATCTTGCAGCCCAAAACAGATCCTGTATTTGTGTTCGGAGATCTTGGCTCCTTTGGTGGAAGTTCTGCCAGTGAAGTCCCTGAACTTCTTAATAGAGAAAACATTGTTTTATTTGGTGGACATTTACACATCTAATACACTGACTAGCTCCCTGATTGCTTAAAAAAAGGTAGCCTGGGTGCCAGAGATAATAAATTACAACAATTATAATTATGATAATAGTAATAATAATAGGATAGTTAGTAAGTGGCAATACGGGGCCCGTGTTAAGTCACCCAGGTAAATCATCTCAAACCATCACCACACCTGCTGCAGCTCCACTGCCATTTGTAACCAAACTGGTTTGCTTCAGCAGTCAGCAAACAGTTGTAAAGGAGGGGAATGCACAAAGTAAGATGTGCTGCCTCACAGCTTAGGTAGATGGGTAGAGCTATAAAAATAAATTTAATTTCTCAGAGCTAAGACCCTACAAAAGTGCACACTGCCAAGTGTTCTGCAAATGGAAGCTGGTGCTCACAGTATTTCTTATTTGAGAGAAGCATGAGGGTCAGATTTTCCAATAATGTTGTGCCTAAGCTCTCCTGAAAATATTTTCCCGTATATTTCATTACATAAAACATAGAAATGGAGAAATACTTTATTACAAGAAATTAATAGGCTTTGCTTAATTTGCTTGTTGATCAAATCAAGAATACACTTTATTAATGAGTTTATAAGAGGAGTGTCTTTATCCTGCACCTGTCACCTTCAGCTGATAAACTAATTTCTTTTTTCTGTGTGTGTGTTGGCAGATGATGTTGAAAAGCTACGAGGAAAACATATCTGCAATCAACGGTATAATAATTTTATTATCTGTGACTAAAAGAAGCTGCTAGTGGTACCTGATGTGTAGCAACTCAAATTATTTTTAAGTGCAGAAAACTGACTAAAATCTTGTACTGGCATCAAGCCACCAAAAATATGGTTAGTTATTACTAGAATTAGTAATTTAGAAGCCAATTTTCAGGAGTCAAAAATATGGTCAAGTGGTTGGAGCAAGATAACCAAGGTGGATACAAAGGACTCAGCCTCTAGGCCTCAGTCCCATGGAGTTGTGGGGACATTTAAATGGTCTTCCCAGTGTCCCAGCTCCTGGAACAAACAGCACAGAGCTGCTGGATGCAGAGATCAGTTAAGGAATAGCTCTGCTGAAGCTCATACAGCTCTAAAGATGCTGGGCAAAAGCATTTCAATCTACAAGTGGAAGTTCAGAGTGAAAGGTAGGAATAATTAACCATAAAATGCAGTACTATGGGTTATTTTCTCTCTTGATGATTTGAAGGTGGGAGAAGGACAAAAAGAAGAACAAAGAGGCACATAAAGACATTTCAAGGAGAGCAAGAGCAAAAGAAGAATTTGAGCCTTATTGGCCAACATATAGCATTCAGTCTATGATTTAGTTAGTTAAAAACATGACGTACCTAATTCCTTAAAATCAAGTCAGATGGGACAGATGTGCTTCTAATGTTCTTGCTTTTGATGTGGGTTTTTTTTTCCTTGTCTTCCCTTAGCTGAAAGAACTCTGGCACTGCCACACACCGACAGGCAGCAGCCACGTGGTCCCATCCACAGGGTCGCGGCGCATCTGACGGGCAGCAACAACAGGAGGAGTTCCCTGTCCACACGCTGTAAGGGAAAACCTTCAAAACACCTCAAAGAACACAGAAATTACTCTCCCATTACTAGCTTCATGCTCACATATAGTTTTTAATACTTGTATTGAGTTAAGAGTAGGAAAGAAATCATAAAAAAGTCATCTTGTCCTGGACGTTGTTTTTCTCTGCTAATTCTCAAGAAACAGGGAGAAAGCCCGTTTCCTCTGGGTGCCTCCCTATTTTTTCTTTTGGAGCCTTCATTAGGGGAAAAAAATTAAATGTCCTTCTTCCTAATATTAAGTTTTCCTCTTTCTTTCCACTTCCTTCTGTTAGTTGGAGTCCCAGCTGCTATGGTGACAGATCTATTAGAAATGTGACAGGAGAGCTTTGACATTCAGGCCATGTTAATGAAGGGCTTGATAGGGTTTCTGCAGCTTCAGAGGGTATCAGACACTAATGGCTATTTTAACTTTGTTACTAAGTAATAACATCATTTTTTCTCTTATTTGGCGGCACAAAAATTAAAAAAGTAAAGAAAAGGCAGTTCATATTAATTCTTACATAAATCTCAGAGCTTACTTATGGACTGTCAGTTTGTTGTGAGAATGGATGTAATGAATCACTACGAAGAGTGGGTTTCCTTACTTTGTTATTAGCTAGTTTTTAAGTTAACATTTCTCTTTTTTTTTTTTTTTTTTCCCCCCAAGTAGATCTCTTGCCCAGAAGGGGGATCGGACATAAAATAAACTGGGAATCATCAAGGAAGACTCACTCTTTCCTTTACAACGTGGAGCTGAGAAATGGCGAGTTAGTGATACCCCAGACGGGCTTTTATTACATCTACTCACAAATTTACTTTCGCTTCCGTGAAAATGAGAACGAGGATTCAGATGTGTTGGGACAAATCAGGAACCCCAAACAGCTTGTCCAGTACATTTACAGACAGACTAATTACCCTGAGCCCATTTTGCTCATGAAAAGTGCAAGAACAAGCTGCTGGTCTAAGAAGGCGGAATATGGACTTTATTCCACCTACCAAGGTGGTGTGTTTCAGCTGAAAAGAGAGGACAGGATTTTTGTCTCTGTCAGTAACAGCGACTTAGTTGACATGGACAAAGAAGCAAGTTTTTTTGGAGCCTTTATGATCGGCTAAAAGACAAAAATCATGCCTCCAAAGGATCCGATTTTCCTATTCAGGACCCCTGCCCCACCAGTCTGGGGATGTGAGAGGGTTTCACACCCCACAGATGATACCTTTGGCCACAACCCCAGGCAGGTAAGAGATCACCACCAGCAGAGATGCTCCACAGCAGCTCACCTGCAGCAGGTGGGATGGCGGATGTTCCAGGTCCGGTTACTCAAGGCTGAGACTGGATATCAGATTCTACTTGTGGTCTCCACTGTGGGACCCTGTCTTGAATATCTCAGCTCCTGTATGGAGCCTTCATAAATACTGCTTCCCAAGTGCCCGTGGAAAAAAAAAAAAAGCTTTTGTTTGAACACGAGTTTTACAGAAGTTTAAAGACCATCAGAAAATCAGGCTGCACATCTTCATCTCATCTTTCAAAACACTTGAGCACCTAATTCATTTTAAGCACATGAACAGCCTGACTAAAGGTATCCACATGCTTAAAATTAAGTATTTGCTTAAGTGTTTTTTTAGGATCGTGTCTTGAGTAAACACATTAGTCTTGTCTTATTTAGGATATTGTACGTAAAAACAGCTGCTGAAATGGCATAGAAGAGCTTTTGAAATCAATCTGTTTCTTGATCAATGTATTGTAACAGTGACTATTTACTTAATTACTGTGCTGCAGACATTTCACCAGGCTTCCAATAAGTTCAGTAATGTACTGGCTGTTGCACTTGTTGACAGCAAGTACTTGATCCAGAAAAAAAAGTGGTTTTTTGTAAATAGTGAATTTTATGAGAAATTTGCCACAAATTAAGCATGACGTGGTTCTTCCATGTTTATTTGTACTGGCCTTATTTAGTAGGATGTAATTCAGAATAACACACCCCAATGACTAACATTTTTAGGAAAACAGGCACAACTATCCATACTTAAATGCTGCTTTTTAAAGTAATGCTGTTATGATTTGGTTCTGGTGGTTTTTTTTGGGGGGGTGTTGAAATTTTTTCATAGTTTTGTTAAATAATTTTTTTAAATGACCACTATATTCTTTTAACTCTTCGAGAAGAACCGTTCTATATTACAGAGATTTGAAAGTTCAAGTTCTATGGGCTGGATTCACAGTGTGAAATTACTAATGTAATCAGCACATCTGCAGCATTGTCAGAGCATCTGGAGCAACAGCAATTTGCACCATGAGTACATATTTTGCCCAGATTCACAGAAAAAAGGGGGGAAGAGAAGGTAAAAAAAAAAAAAAAAAAAAAAAAAGGAGGAAAAGGAAGACAGTTCTGCAAATGCCACTTTACATCAACAGAGTGATGCCAGTGTAAAGTCTGGTTGTCTGTTTTGAATGCACCAAGGTTGCCGTGGGAACCCTCACATTCACCTGCACGTTCTGGTAATCAAATCCCCGAGCAGCCCCTGCACATGGGCCCCACGAGTAAAGATGCTCGTTCATCCTACTACTCAGTCAACAAGAGGAAATTAATAGACACGAGCCCCTGCGTTTATTTTGCCATTCAGAAAAGAAGCTGTGTTGGTTGACTTAAATACCTCTGTTGGAGTAGCAAAAGAGGGAATTTCAGGGATATCCTCCTTTAGACAGGTTAGGGCAACGAAGCACACCACTGTAAGCCTGAAATAAAGAGTTGTAACTTTTGCCTGCTGGTTTAACAGTGTCACACACACTGTTTTCAGTGGTAAGCAAATATGTGAAATTCTTCACCATTTACTGATACGCTTTGGTTTGCCTCCTTTTGAAATCATCTGTTGCGACAGAGAACAGAAAATATTTTTGCGGTTTTCTTTCTGATTTCAGTATTTAATTCAGGAATTTTCTGCCTGCCAGAAAAGGCTGGGAGAACAGAGCCATTCCCTGCATACCTGTATGTCTGCTGTCTTGGAGAAATGACTTTTGTAGGTTCTCCTTGCAAATGGACAGAGCCTTCCAATCTCAGCACCGGACTGGCCCATGTTGTCAGGTTTGAGGTGGTTTTTTTTGAAATTTACTATATTAATAATTTTAAATTTTTTTTTAAAGACATGCTTTTTTTTAGGAACTTATTTGAATAGAAATTTATTTGAACTGTGAAAAAGTATTTCAGATTTACTGGTGGCAGCTTACAGTCAGAAACCCTACCCATGGCAAAGAGCCGATCTGTGTAATGTGGAGTCGTGGCTGCTAGATGGGACTGGAAGGATTCCATGGGGGACTCCACAAACCTGCAGCTGATGCTAAGACATACTATTACAAACAGATTTTCTTGCTCCATGTACTGTCCTTAACTCAATTTTAACACCATGTCTGCTGTCACTGGGGAGATGCTCCCTGGCTTTACCTTCCTTTGTTACCTAAATGTACATCTTTGTGGTCTCTGCGTGCAGAGCATAGCACAACAGGAAATACAGATAGTCATTGGAATAATCCAAAAGCATGCTTGACAGATATTGTCTTGGTGGGTCGTTATCAAGGAATATAAGACAGGACACGTGTGAAGAAGATTGGAAAAACATAGTAAGTTCTTTTTGTATCGTATCCTGAATCATGCCTTTCATCTCATTTTATGTTGGAATAGCAAATGTAGCAAATTTTTTATTTGTGGCTGTGGGTTGCATTAACGTATGAATATTGTAAATTTTTCTATATGCTTTTTATATAAAATGTTTTTACTAAATAGTTATTTAGTCTTGCGGTGATTATTGGTGTTTGTTATCCTATGGCTTCCACAACAACCCTGTCGTAAATAATTTCCCTGACATTGATTGCTATCAGATACAATCCATTAAATGCCACAAATGGTTGCAATGCAAAGGACAAAACTGCAAACCATTGAGCAATACCATGTTGTGTAATCCCATCTAACTGGCTTCCAGACCTCAGTTAGTGAACAGCATCTGGAAGCAGTATAAAAATGACCTTGTGAGCAGACAATACAAAATCTGAGCACTTCCTTTTAGGTTCTTCTCATGTTTCTGGGCTTTAGCAATTATTTAAGCACTGGGAATTTTTCTTTAGTAGGGAAATACCTGATCTTTACCCATACCAAACTACAGTAGAAGATATTTGTTCAGCCTGGAGATGAGAAGGCTCAGGAAGACCTAAAAGCATCTTCCGGGGCCTGTGGTGGGCTACAAGAGAGCTGAAGGGGGACTTTGGACAACGGCTTGTAGTGACAGGACAATGGGAAATGGCTTCACTCTGACAGAGGGCATGGTTAGATTGGGAAGCAGTTCTTCCCTGTGAGGGTGGGGAGGGCCTGGCACAGGTTGCCCAGAGAAGCTGTGGCTGCCCCATCCCTGCAAGTGTCCAAGGCCAGGTTGGACGGGGCTTGGAGCAACCTGGGCTAGTGGAAGGTGTCCCTGCCCATGGCAGGGGAGTTGGACCCACTGCACCAATGGACCCTGTTCTCTCTCCAGTTGGTGAATGAGTCCAATGAAGAGGGACAGGAATGCCCAGGGTGTGGCCTGGTGACACAGTGAGCTGAAGCACGGCAAAAAGCTGAGACTAAAACAGCTGCCTCTGAGTTAGTGACCTCAGAGCACAGCTTTGCTGATAATAAACCAGCACTGTTTTGAAGTCTGCTTGCAGATATCTACTGCCATATAAACAACTGTAAAGTAATTTGAGCCCACTCTGGGTTTTACATTATTAAGCTGGATTACCGCTGTTTCATCACTGCTCCTCACGGATGATGGTTGCTAAACCATAACCTTTGAAAGCATACACCAGGTGCTACCTTCTGTTCTAAAACACATTTATAATAGCAGGCAAAACACCCTTTGTCCCGGATATAATAAAAATACTGCATTTGCTTTTCTCTGGAGTTGTTGAAGGTGCATCAATTTAAAATGAAGCTGTACCTTGGAGTCTGTTTTCCGGTTTCTTCTTTTCTCCACAATAAACACATAATCATTCTATATTCAAAGCTTTCAGACATTTCCATGACAACAAAAAATGATATAAACAAGAATTAGAACATTATTGGAAGAGGAGATAATGGACAGAATGGAACATACAAGAGAGACCTCAAAACTCCATAAATAGAAACCCCCTTCTACTTCATCTCCAGTATTCAATACAGCTTTGAAGCTATTGAAGACAAACACCTATATTTTAAGAGTTCCATGAAAGGTAAATGTCCAGTATAATGTGGGGTTTATAATTATTTTTTAAATATCTGTCTTGTTCATATGTTCAGCTAGTGGATAAAACTGAATATAAAGTACTTAAATTCTGCCTCTTTCTGTCCATTTGTCTCATTCCAATAAGACCAGTAACTTCACTCTTACCTTGCTGGCAACATAAAACTAATGTTCTTGCAGCTGAGGGCTAACAGACAACTTTTGGGAGCCTAAAGCCATCTTCTCTCACAGCTCTTACCTCTTCTATCACACCGTCTGTACCACTGTCCTTTAGCATATGCAAAGCAGAGGCAGTAATCCATTATCGTGTAAAGTCTGTGGGATAGTTCTGGCCTGCAATTGCCAAAGAAATCAAAAAGAATTAGAAAACTAAACTGCTTTTCTTCTCTCTCAGATGACATTTTTTCTGGTCCTGTCCCTGTGCAGGAAAAGCAGCCAGAGAAGCCCTTGACCCTTAAAAGAAGGAAATCGATGTTGGTGGATTCAAACACAACTGCCAGGTCTGATCCAAGTGGCTCATCACTCAGCACACCAGGAATTAAGTGTTAAATCATTGCATTACAAGCTCAAGTTGTCTGGAGTACACAAACCTGGTGCTACCTCACTTTTGAACTTGATTTTGCCACACACCCCACAGTTACAGTATCATTTTAGTAAGGAATAAATGATTTTCCTAAAAAAAAAACAAGAAAAAAACCAAAAAAAAAAAAAAAAGGAAGTGATCATTTTTGACAAGATACATCTCAACAAAACCTGGAAGCATTTCATGAGAATGGAGGATGCTCTCTATATAGAAAAGTCACATTTATAACTTCAGGCCATTTTCTCTGGTAAATATCAACATCCTACAGCTGAAACCACTGGTTGGGGAAAAGAAATTGTTAAAAAAAAAAAAAAAAGAAAAAAATTATTTATGTAATTACAAAGTATTTGGCATCCTAACTACAGAGGCAGTCATTATCTCCATAATATATTGCAATGTCATGTAAATTAGATTGGGGACACAATTCTAATATGAACTGTGTGTTGGTGGCATAAAGCCCATGATTTTTTGTCATATAACACAACTCTATAGGCAACCAGATAGACAAAGTGAGAAGTACATTAGGCTCTTCCTCCTTTTCAACTGAAATTAATCTGTAGCCATCCCTCATAAAATTCAGCAACTGTTGAATAACTTCCTACAAAACTGTCTCACAGTTCAAGAGCAGGAATGATGAATACTGATCCCAGTGAGAATGCAAAAATATATCATCCAAATTAGGCTGTGGACAAGGCACTAAGGCTAATGCTTGCACGATTACAGAAAGCAAATTACAAAGAACATGCACAGGCAGAGTAACTTGGTGTTGTGTCACAGCACGCTTGAGATCTGCCTACCCTTAAATAAAGCTCTGCAGCTAGGAATGCTAGAGACATGTACACATGTGTGAGTGCTCCTGGAAAAACAGCATAAACCCCTTCCTTGGCTGAACTGGATGAGGCTTGGAGCAACCTGGTCTAGTGGAAGGTGTCCCTGCCCGTGGCAGGGGGTTGGAATGAGATGAGCTTTAAGGTCCCTTCCAACCCAAACCATTCTGTGATTCTGTGGTCAATCTAGATACCAGCATGGGTTCAGAGCACTGGTTGCCACCTCAGAGATGCAGCCTCTATGGGTAGACAGAAGTGAAAACTGATTGTGCCACAGTGCACACTCCCTGACAATTTGTTGGGACAGGTTGGAAAAGCAGTGAGATGCACCCTATACAGATGTACAAGGGGTTGCTTTACTGCCCCTGATCCCACCTTGTACTGCTTCCATTTTACCTCCTTTTGGGTACAACATTGCCCTTTGAGTCTGCAGCTGGGGAAACACACGGTTCTGATGCCTGTGTCTGCAAAGGGCAGAGAGTAGGACAGCAGCCGCACGCTGAATCGAAATTTAATTGCAGGCAAATCATATGGGAGCGGGTGATTACTGCATCTTCACTGAACTGGAGCCTCGCCGGGCTCCTGCCAAGACCCAAGGGCAGAGCAAAGATACGGAGTGAGGAGGCAGCGATCGCACCCGTCGCCGCGGTGCCGGTGGGATGTGCGGTGAGGAGATGCGCGGTGAGGGGATGTGCGCGGGGACAGAGCCCTGAGAGCGGCGGAGAAGGGACGGTCCCGCCGCTCCGAGAGCACCGACAGGCGGGACCCGCACCTGCCCGGGCGGGGCAAGCAGCGGGGGGCGGACCGGGAGCGCCGGACCCGGCGGGGTGGGTGAGTCCTCCCGCGCCGGGGGCTCGGGAAGAAAGTTTAAATGCCGGTGCCGGCGCGGGTGGAGCGGCCGCCCGGGGGTCGCGGGGCCGCCCCACGTCTCGTGTGACGCGCGGCGAGAGCCCGCCCGCCCCGGGCCGGGGGGAGCGACAGTGCCCGGGAGAGGCGGAGCGGGGCCGCCCGTCCCTCCCCGCCTCCGGCCCCGCACCTGCCCGGGCGCGCAGCGGCGCGGGGACCGCGCGGGGCCGGGCCGCGCCGCGCCGGGCGGGGATGCGCATCCCTTGGCGGCAGGATGCCGGAGGGGAGCGCGGGCGGCCGCGGCGCGGAGAACCGGACGGGCGCCGAGGCCCCGCAGCACCTGTTCCCCGTGCCCGTGCTCACCGGCATCACCGTCGCCTGCGTCCTGCTCTTCGTCATCGGGATCATCGGCAACCTCATGACCATGCTGGTGGTGTCGCGGTTCCGGGACATGAGGACCACCACCAACTTCTACCTGTCCAGCATGGCCTTCTCCGACCTGCTCATCTTCCTCTGCATGCCCCTGGACCTCTTCCGCCTCTGGCAGTACCGGCCCTGGAACTTCGGGGACCTCCTCTGCAAGCTGTTCCAGTTCATCAGCGAGAGCTGCACCTACTCCACCATCCTCAACATCACAGCGCTCAGCGTGGAGCGGTACGTTGCCATCTGCTTCCCCCTCCGAGCTAAAGTCATCATCACCAAGGGGAAGGTCAAGCTGGTCATCCTCTTCCTCTGGGCCGTCTCCTTCATCAGCGCCGGACCCATCTTCATCCTGGTGGGGGTTGAGCACGAGAACGGCACGAACCCCCTGAGCACCAACGAGTGCCGAGCCACCGAGTACGCCATCCGCTCGGGGCTCCTCACCATCATGGTCTGGACCTCCAGCATCTTCTTCTTCCTGCCCGTGTTCTGCCTGACAGTGCTGTACAGCCTCATCGGGAGGAAGCTCTGGAGGAGGAAGAGAAAGAACATCGGTCTAAACACCGTCATCAGGGATAAGAACAACAAGCAAACTGTGAAAATGTTAGGTACGAGTCTCCTTGCTCTGTTTTTCCAAAGGATGCGTGTGCTTGTGTGTGTGTGTGTGTGTGAGAGAGAAAGACTGAGAGCTCTCTGGTAGTTTACTATAGTTGCTTCCAAAGGAAAGCATTTATTAAAAATGTTTCATGCAAAGGGATAAACCTCCAGGAATCTGTAGAGTAACTCTCCTCCTCCCTTAGATTTATTCCTGACTGATTTGAGCTGGGGACTCCCAAAC